AATCCACGCAGAGGGAGATTAATTTTGTCGCCAGTTAAGGACGCTCCTCGCCAAGACGTTCCAGAGCTCAGATGTTTTTCCCGATACAGACTAACTGGGCATTTGAGTGGCTGATTCCAGTTGAGCGATAGTTACTGGTAACAAGAGGTGAAGTCACTGCGGGCAGGCAGGCATGCATGCAACGCATTGGCCTACGTCCAGTTTTTTTACCAGTATAAATCGCGACGCATATCCTTGCCCACAAATACATTAAGCTGAACTGTTTGCCTCATACGGCAGCAGTGCAAAAAAGGTTGCCTGAAAATATGAGGCATGCAGATCCAAAGACAGCACAGAGTCCAGCTCACCTAAAAAAACGCTCAAATATTTAAAACAAGGGAGCAGTGGATGGGAATGTGTATTTTACGAAGGGTCCATTTGATCCATTTGTGAAAAGCGCGGCCGTCTCGATAGGATTAGGATCCATGCCAGCAAGGAGAAAGGCTTTAGTACAGCCAATGTTCTAACAAACTCAGCTACGAGGACCCCACCGGGAGCCGTGTGTTTAATCAGACCTGAGCAAAATGAATTATACAAATCTGCCGAAACCCTTGCTATCTTTGGGGGGTGCTTTTGCTTCGCGCTCTTCCCAAAGAAGAACCTAGGATAATGCTGAAAGTTTGTAAAATCGTCATCTGTTCATTGGTTTCCAGCATACATTCAGTCATAAAAGCCAACACTCGTTCAGTAAAAATATTTACTCCAGGCAGAATAACTACTTAATAAGTCGATGGTAGCCTCACGTGGCCTACTTACAACGTACATAACGAGTATCCTTTCCATACCTGCTTCCATGCATTCACCACCGGTGTAGGAAGGTGTGCTATCTCATACGATGTTAAAGCAGATTTTGAAATGATTTGTTCAATAGGACTGTAATATTTACAATCATGGAGCATAATTCCAAGATATTTAAGTCACGCCAGGTTGGAACGAGAATCTTTCGGACCGTCTGCAAAAACCGCATTCTGTAAAAATGAAGTAGTAGGCATTTGCCTATTGGTTCGCATATAATGCATGAGGTCTTATGAATTGCACAGGGAAATATTTGCTACGCAAAATTAAACTATAACTCCTTCCTCAAAGTCTCACAGCAAGAAAAGAACGACCGTTCTCAAATAGAAGGCTTTTTGTGGTTTGTAAATGAACGTTGCGCTTTTTAGAACTATTTACTTTTTAGGATCGCAAAAAAATGTAGAAGACGGTCGAATTTGGTGAATTTAAGCAAACTTAGGGTTTAAATTATAGACATTTTATGCATGCAGAAAACGAGTAAAAAGGCGCAAAAGTTAGATTTTAACTGAAAAACAATTCTTTTGTGATTTTTTGCGGAAATATATCCTTCCATATTATGCACAATGTAAAACATGGGCCTTGCCAAACAGCCATAAACTCAAACACAGCTTCACGAGAAGTGACTTTGCCTGCCGTTTTTATCTTGTTTGGGATGCGTTGGATCAAGGCAAATAGATTTTCGCTTGATAATGCCGATAGGGCTGTCACAGGAATATGATATTTCGTAAGCTCGAATGGTAGCAGTTCGGTCAGGAACTAATCAATTTAAATAGACTTTTCAGGGACAATCTTAAACGTATCGGTTTGTGCAAACTAAGAGCATTTTTTCGTTCGCCACATTGAAGGCAAATTCATTTTTTTGCTCTTAATAATATATGAAAATATTTTCCGGCTTATATTTCTGGTCATTTATATTAAAACGTGCAATAAACAAGAGGTTTGGATCTGCAGCTTGCATTAGCATAGGAACGTTCCTGTATAACAAGAAAAGTTGGATTTTGCCCAGGTCTTGCCTGTTTTTGTCTCAATAAACAGATCTAAAGAAAATGATCTCATAGTTCACCGCTTTCTACTCCTCAAATTATTTCGATAATCAAAATAAAATCTTGAACGCGTGCCTCGAATGTCAGCCTAGAAATTTCGTGACTCATCGGACCTTCTGTTTATATTATAGAAAACACTAGTATTATACATTTTCTTGTGCTCATTCGTAGCGACTCACGTCTTCTTTGTGTTCTTTTGCTTGAAAAAGATGCATGTTTGGTTTTAAAAACTTTTTCAAGTCCCGAATGATTTTGAGTCTCAACCGCCATTGCAGCAGCCTTTAGAGTTTGCCCCTCCACATTCCGTCTAAAGTAAATTACATAGTTCTTTGTGTTACTAGGAAGACGTCATATGGAAACTTGTCATATGGAACGCGCTGTATACTTTATAAGTGGAAAGATAAGAACCTTTATGAATGAACTTTTACGATCTCAAATAATCTCGCAATTAGCTATTTTTTAAAACCGAAAGATGCGTAGCTCGCTATTAAATAAGCCCTTCAAAAGATATTTTCATCCATATTTTTGAATTTTTAAGAGCGTGTCTAAACTAAAACTCATTCACAAGCCGGTACTCTGGCGTGGGCGAACGATAATCAAT